ATTCAGACCAGACCTCTCACAATTCAGTATTCCAATTTAGTTTTATTTTTTTTAAATGATGAACTGAAGGGAGTACAAAAGAAACTAAAGTTAAACTTCTTTTTGCTGCCTAGAGTTACAAAACATACTTTTAGCAGTAACTCATACACCTATCTATCTTTTTTTAATCGTATTCTTTTATTCTTTGCTATAATATAATTTATCATTTGCTATAATCATTTTCTCTATTTTCTGATCTCTGAAGGCACTATTTATACTTCGACTAAATTGCTTGTCATAGAAACAACTATAATAAAATTATTAAATACGCTAATCGGATTCAGCTGAAAATTTTTGAAAAATTTAGTTGTGTACCAATATAACACTAAAATAAAATTTTTGTTTAATTGTTAGAGAGATATATATTTAGTATAAGATTTATGTTAAATCTTCTGAATAATGTATAACTGTTAGAATTCCAGTTATCCAGTGGTCGAAGGACCAGGATGGTTGGATTAGACTATGATCAGCAGTTGCCTAGTGGCGGAAAAAAGTTATATTCAATAGTTATATACATTTAGTTATCGTGTTGTTTATTGCCTTTTATTTTACAAACTACATAATAAAAATGATTCTAAGATGGTGTTGAGAATCGGTAAGATCTTGCAGTTTGGTGATAGTTGCCACGTGGCATTAGCATGCACTACATATAGAGGTAGGAGGTCGTAAATCTCCGGATCCTCTTGACGTAGTGTGCTTGGTGGTAAATTATTGAAAAGAACTGAAAAGAAAAGGTCGTAAATCTCTGGTACTTCGTCATATAGTGTTACGTGATGGTAACGTATTGAGTTCTCACTTGAGTTCTCACTGGTCTTATTTCCTTTTAAACGGGCCTTGATGTCCTTTTATTCGTACTCACATAGATGCAGTTGCCTTGTCGGATCCTGTCATGAATGCTTAGATATTGCGCTTCTTGAAATCGTGTCCGTTTTTGTAATGCAGTCAGCACTCTTGACTGCTTTCAATTATTGTGCACTTGAGTATTAAACGGGTATTGAATATACTGCCTTCACTGTATTGTCGTAACTGAGTAACTAGTTTATAGTTGTAAAGTCAGACTGAATGATGTAAGTACAATGTTCCTACAAGCTTACTGAATACGTATACAAAAACTGAAGGCTTGTTCGTTCCGTGGCGGCTCTGTTGAGAGGTACCGACTATTCCATGGCGGTCCAGTTAAGACAGTCTGTGATCACTGAGAGAGGTTCACTGAGAGAGAGTGAGGCTCGTCGAGTGCTTCCTTTAAATATTCGCGCGGCAGCTTACTGAGCTGGTAACAATGCATAGGTGTTGTTATGACGAAAATCTTGCATGATGTCAAAGACTAAAGCTATAGAACTTTTGAGAATTCCAGAAAGACAAAGCTTTAGAAGGTTCAAGTATTTCCAATCAGTGTTGCTTTGCGGAAATATTGTAGGACACTCGAAAATAAGGCTTAGAATATTCGAAAATTCGCAGAATCTATGTTTAGAAACATGAGAGTTAGAAAGAAGGCTTATACTTCTCCAGTTTTCAGTCTTGGAAAATGCTCCAATCCAGAACAATAACATTTCTTGAATATTAATTAAAATTTTTTAATATGTTTATAAGCAATTTTGTCGTATTAACGGTTTCATTATATATATTAAGTATAATATATCTTTTAACTTATTCTTGTTACAGATAAATCTTGTAATTTTTATTTTTATTTAATATAAATGTATATTTTTTTCTTTTGAAATATAATTTTTGATGATTTATAAATGTTCGGGATTGAGGCAGTTTTTTTAATTTCAATTTAAAATTGGGAGCAATTCAAGGAATTCTTCCCACTCCATAGCGTCTAATATACGACAATACTTCCGCATAGCAATATCTTAACGGTTTTCGGTATAGCAACAGACTATGGCGCTGTTGTCGGCATCGCAAACTATGCGGCGAATATTTAAGAGCAGCGCGCTACGCGCCGCGCCACTGTACGTTTAACATCCATTCAGTCACTCTGGCTGAAACGATTATTATAAATGCAACTATTAACGAAGTTTGCACATACTACACCTTTCTATAACCCGTTCACTTAACTCCCACTCAAGCATCTGCTAGAGCGGGCGGCAAATTATTAAAGCTATAGAAACACTGGCAGTTCCAGCCAGAAAATAGCACTAATTTTCGAACAAACATAAATTCAATTTTTATTTAATTTAAATTAACAATGTGAAATTTTAATCTAAAAAATTTTATGTTCCTTTTATAATATTTTCAGCATGTATTATTGAATCAAAATATATATTAGACAATAATTCACTAAGTAAATATTTAAGTACTAATACACAAGCTCTATTAGGAAACATTATAATTATGTGTAATTATTTTTATAAATTCAATCTATTAATTTTTTCAGTGAATTGGTTTGTTACTACTTTGTAAATGATCAATTACTGAAAAAGTTCTATACTTGTCTGTACATAAGCAATAAAATGTTATAAAAATAGCTCTACAATTAAAGTATATTAATAATTGTTTATACTATATTTGTAAATGATGTATAAGGTTCATAAAGATATTTTTATACATGTAGTACAATTCATATATATATATATATGTGTGTGTGTGTGTGTGTGTGTGTGTTTGTGTACAATTAGACTAACAAGGCCAACGAACTCCCCAAGGCTAGACTCTGGTGACATCACTCTAACAATCGGCATGGCAAGAGTGATCCGATAATCACCGGATCCGCAAGCTTGGCCTAGGATATTTAAGGCGCCGCGCTTGACGTTCTCGCTCTCTTACTAGTTCAATCAAGCATTCATCAAGACAGGATCGCCATTCTACAGATCGGCTCCAGCCCGCACTACAGAGATCGACTCCACCACGCACGTAAGCTACGCTCCTACGGCTTACTACTACTATAGAGATCGACTCTAACCTGCACGTAAGCTACGCTATTACACACATTCTTACGTCGTACTAATGCACGCCTCCTGTCAACTACGTATTCAGCAACACACTACGAACATACACCAATACAGCACACTATCTATATCACATTACATCGATACGAGTGAATCTCCCACTCCGTCAATCAGTGACGTCACACGGCCATCCTCCCACCACCCGACCACTACAGCGCTCACCCTACGCCAGCGGCTAAGGCGGCTCTAACTCACTGCCCCTACCAGCGCGAGTCTCCCACTACTACTACTCAACTCACAAGGAGATGGAGAATCAAGCTCCAGGCTATCAAGAATACACTTACAGAATTATCGTCACTAATATTAATTGAAGGAACACTCATCTATTCATTGTATCATACATTCAATTCGACATCCATAGACCACTGACTATTTATTATATTTATTATATTTAATAAAACGAAAGACAATAAACTCTAAAGGCAGTATTGAATAATTGCATTGCTCTTTCCGCTTGTCAGCAAGCCTCCATCCACCATCACAGGGAGGCTTCTAGTCTGATCCCAGACAGTTTACAAAAATAATTTGTATAATATTTCAATTATTATTATTATTATTATTATTATTTTGTTAAATTAATCCTAACATTAAATCACGTAATATTCATATCTTTATAAGATTAATCTAATTAATTAGATTCTATTAACGATTCAAAAGAATGTACTTAATAATGTTTTAAACTCTCATTCATCAAATATTCGATGTTATTGTATATTAAAGAAATTATTAATTTATTTTTATACAATAGTCTAATTAATATTAATTAAACTTTTATTTATAAAAGCAAATTAAAACATTGTTTTAAAGGAGTATATTTAATAAAATATATAATATGATTTGCTCTAATATTATATTTGGTATACAATATCTTACTTAACAATCATACTTAATAATTAGTTACTTAAAAAAAATTTGTAATTATTTTGTAAACTAAAACCGATAATTTATAAATTTATAAATATATTCCATTAAATTTGCTTTCAAAACTATTTATTATAATTGTACTTAATTAATTATTCGAGAATTCAAAAGATTTTTCATTAAATTCATACCATCAGTTTTTAAGTATTTTAATTATTTTAAGTAACTCTTCTTACATACGTAAGTTTTAAATTCATTTAAAAATCGTGTGCATGAAATTAATATTATTAAAATTATTATGCTGCATTTGTATTATAAATGTCATCTTAATATATGCTTCCTAAGTTTACATTTGTTTTTTACTTAAATAATTGATTGAAAGCAGTTGTTTTACCATAAAAATACCATATATATTTCTTGAAATTCAAATAAGCTGTTTTTATCAGTTTTGCAATTGATCCATAAATACTTAGTAGAAAAAATTCTACCATAATTCATATATTGTTATATTCACTAAAAAGATAAAATCTTTACGAACCTAGATATTACTAAAAGAAATTCACTTGACTTCTATATATCTGAACAAATAAATCAATATACTCATTTTACAATATAGTTTTTACGTTTTTACTTCATTTCTTTTGATTTGTTTTAAGAATTATAATTTCATCGTTAATTTGTACTTTTTTAAATATTTAAAAATGATTGTAAGTATAGAAAAAAAAAATATTATTTTAATTTAATGTTGATAATATTTTCATAATAGAATTCTTAATTAATTTATGGACCATTATTTATTTTATATTTTTTTATTTTCTATTTTAATTATTTTCTAAACATGGCTATATATTTTACTGTAAAAAAGAATCTGAATATTAATAAATGCCTGTTTTCTTATAAATAGACGCCTGTTTTCTTATAGATAGAAAAAATTTCTAAGAAAAATAAATAGGTTAAAATTTTCAGCACTTGATTTACATACTATATATGCAGTTATAACAATACAAAATATTTGTTATTAAATATAAAAAAACTTTGACAAAAAATTAAAAAATAAGAGCTATTTATTTAACTGAAGCGGAAAATAGTCATAGGTTTAGATTAACGAAGCAACGGATTTTGTATATCATTTTGATAGGAAAAGTAGACATGCCGATCACTGTTACAAGCGGATACATTACATTGCGGTGGTGGGGTTCATTTCCATGGAAACGCGTATACACTCGAGGAGAGCACATCGATTGTATTCAATCACACTATAAGGTGCAAGCGTCGTAGAAAAGGGAATGGAAGGGCACCTTCTACATGCATTCGTGTGTGAAGATGACAATGGACCCGTACAACCGGCAACTGACACCGCTTTACGAGCGCTTAAAATGTTCACGTGTCAACGGGAAGAAGCCACGAGACTTTAATAAACTGAGCGCCAAGTAAGCATACTTTCGTTTAAAAGCTTTCGTTGAGATTTACGTAAACACAATCTTCCCTAGTATTTAATAAAACATTTCAGCAAAGTTTTAAATCAGAGTTCGTAAAAATGCTTTGATTCATACAGTCAATCATAACAAATATCATTCAAATTTTCATAAATGTATAATTATCGTTTTAAAATACCTTTTGTTATTTTATATTTATTGGGAAATTATCTCTCAGAATTTTTATTTATTATACAATTATACAAGTGATTAAGAAAAATAACAATATTTTATAAAAGATTCATTTTAAATTACACTTCAAAAAAAATCTATAAGCTAATAATTTATTTCATATATTTTTCTTATACTAATTGATTAATATTAAATTAACACTAAGTATTCAAAGAGAAATTATATATTTTATTAATGACTAGTAACCAAAAATAAATTAGAATATAATACCTGAAATTAATTAATAAAATAATACAACAATGCATTTTGTAATAAGGATATATTGTTATATCTTTCAACTCATAAAATGAATCTTAATCCAAAATATAGATAGAATTATTAATTACTAAAAATAAATAATAAATAAATTACAAACGCTTGAGCATGTTTGTACATCCTTCAAAGTAATGGACAAACATCTGTAGTTAATTATTCACCTAGATATATTTTTGAAAATCAATTTCTTCAATCCAAAATTATTTTTTTTTTTTTGCTACAATCATTATTGTAATTAGAAATTATTATGAAATAATACATTGGATCATTTATTTCAGGATTAAGATTAAAATGTTAAATTTCGTACTTAAAACAATAATTTAATCAAATTAATTATAAAAAAATATAAATTTAGGAAATTTCATTATACACATAGTTCAATTTTATTCAAAATTTATTTTTTTTAATTTGCATTAAAATATTTTTATACTGATGAGACTTATTGGAGTATTTATTTAAAAAAAAATTACTATATATATATAAACCATCTAATAATTTATTTTAAAAAATTTTAATTCCAAAATTTTGGCATCTAAAGTATTTTATATATAAATTATATTTCATAATGTAGTTAAAAATAATAGTTTGGTAAATATTGACAAATTTAAACGAAAAATATATTAATATTTTGTTCTCAAAAATACGTTTTTTTATTATAAATTTAATATTTCTAATTAAATAAATTTTTAAAATATATTATTTGTATAAATACTTTATAATTTGCATTTATATATTATGTACATTTCATTTCATTAAATTAGTTACATCGAAAGTATATAATTATTATATCATTTAATATACTGTAGAATGCAGTAACAAAATATCGATTATTTAAATTATGAAACATATCCATTAAAATAATAAAAACATAAGTAATTTAACTTTAGTATTAGTAAACAGGACATTAAATATTTCTTTATTTATATAAAAATATCTACAGTGTAATAGCAAATAAGAATAATTAAGATTTTATATTTAATTTTAATTTTTAACATATTAATTATAAATAGGCATAAATATTTCTAGAAAAAATTACATTAATTGTTTAAAAGTAATTTTATGCACAATCCTCCTCTAAGTTTATTTACAACTAATATAATACTAAATATAATACTGCTAAAATTATACTTCGAAGTTCAATTTTGAGAGCATAAAGATATTTCATTAAGTTCTATGTATTCAATGGGAATACGAAAATTTTTTACAAAAAATAACCTAAAAGCTAATTTAAGCTTCACATATACGGATAGATTGAAAAGTCGAGTGATTACTGCAGGATATATAACAAAAGGAATAGCGAGCTCAAAAATGCTCGTGAAGATTACGACAGCTTCCTCGAGTTTATCCAGAGTATACCCAACTATATAGAAATTCATCATCTCTCGAATGAGCAATTTAAGCAGAAGCTTGACTGTCTGAAACGTAAACAGCGAATCCTCTTGAAGAATCTACGTAACTGCCTTGAGCAGGAGGAGAAAGAGGATGAAATTGCTACAAGATCCAACGTCGAAAATTGCTATAGAGATCGCCCTATATTCATGAATGAAAATAATTCTGACAGCCATAAAAGCATTCCAGATGCTGAACTAAAACTTAAAGATAAGCGTTACAACTACGGAGAGCCGAAGAGCAATACTTTGTTCTTGCATCCTTCTAGACGAAGTTTCTCCTGCCTAACCAAAGATCAAGATTTCCTTAACTACAGGTGAGAATACTGAGGATTTCATTAAGACTTTCATTGGAATGCCTAAATCTGACAAATTATTTTCAAAATAATTATATACATTGAAATATAAAGTTTGAAGACTTCACTCTTTCGACTATAAAACAATGTATATCATTTCGTCTAAAAGTTTGTATTATAACTCCAAATACAGATGGATAAAATGAAAATATATGTTTGGCTACTAGATGCATGGAGTATGATAAGGCTAAAAATATGGAACGTAATGAAGATGTAATATCGGAAAATAAAATCTGGAGCTCCGAAAGTGAATTGAAAAGCAATGAGAGCTTAGAAAATGACAATCAGGAAATAAGCGTCGAGACCAAAAGTTTGCCAGCTCACAGCACAAAAAAATGGCAACTCACTCTATCCAAGCCTTTCAACTTCACACTCAAGTAATATTTATGAACCTGTTACTCACTTAAAAATACACAAACAATTAAATAAACATTTCTCTATATAATTATTCTATTCAAAACTAATTTTTCAAATCTCATTAAAATATATAATTATATTTTAAATATAATTCAAATTTCAGTTACTAATTACCTGCTTTTAATTTTGCTCACTGAATAACTTTGAGTTAAAGTATTTATTTGTTATAAGAAGTTTTTTGTAAAAAATATTGTATAATAAAATATTTTAAATGTTTTATTTTTTAATTTTACACTATATTTTTACAAAGTCAAATGAAACATCCGCCTGCTAAAAATATAAAGTTAAATAAAATTAAATAGTATTGGTAATTTAAATGAAAATCATTAACAACATGCTCTTTTCTTGAATTAGTGACATACGATATCAAAATAATTGTTTATCTTCTCAATGGCAAAACAGAAAGTCTATTAATAAAAATTTTAAATTATAATTTCCAAGAGATGATGCAGAGAAATACATCACGATGATAGAGAAAGAGGCAGATAAAGAATGTAAGAGTTTTACAACAAATAAGAAGAATCTGGCGAAAAAGAGACGTATAAAACCAATACCCTTATCATCGAAAATTCCTTTGTATGAGAAACTTATGGCAGCAAAAGAAGAAAGGTAATATAGCAACTATACTTCCTATATTCAAAATAACTAACGATTCATTGGAAAATTACACAATCTCCTTCGATGCTTCTCAATCTACTAGTTTCCGAAATAAGAAGCAAGAAAGGGCATTTCATGTTTTTCAAATATATTTTTAAAGCTACTTTCCTCATTTTATATCTTTTTGATAGTCTGTCTTACGCATTTCGAAAATAATGTAGTATTTTACTGTAAAAATAGTATCTCTGTTATTTTTCAAATTGTTTCATATTAATATATAAATAGTTATAATGACGACAAGTAAAGAGATTTAATTTTTTCAAAAATTTATCTACAAAATTTTTATACAAAAAAATAAATATAACATATTTAAAATACTTAAGATTATCAAGTCCACATATTTTAAATGAAATAAAATTAAAAGAAAAGATAATTATTTGAAATCAATGAAAATTTTAATATAAAAGTATATTATAAAGATTATAAAATAAATATACTAAATTTGTTGCATAATAAAATATTGAATAAGCTAGATATGCAATTTTTTTCTTTAAAATATTCATACAAATATTAAGTATGTATTATTGAAAATAAAAATTCTTTCTTGAATATTAAATTATTCTTATTTTTGAGCAAATATGAAAATAAATCTGAAGCATTCGGATTTACATATTACAATTCATATTTTGAACATGTTATTTTCCATAAGGGCCCATCGTATTTATTACTATTTAATTGACGATGAGTAATTACATAAGAATTTTAAAGCAATTCTCTCTTGAAATGGAATAGAAGCCGAATTGTACGGGAAGAGAGCGCTTTAAATTTAATGTCGCAAGTACAACCTTTTAAATTAGAATGCGACCGACGTGCACTCCGAGCTTTGACCCACTCGAGTCCCGACCTCAGAAAAAATAAGAGCTGCTATAGCAGCTCAAGATTCAAGGCCAAGCCCATACCGAGGAACCTCTTTAGTATCGACGTTCACGATACAATGCTAGAAGATGCATATTTCAGGTAATACTCTTTCCATACAATATGTTCATGAAGAACGATTGATTATATCAATCGCATTCGAGTTTAGAGCTCTCTACTGCAACTACCTTTACGCCACATCTCATAATTCCTTCTTACTTTCTACTACCATCTTTTTACTCTATTTTTCCATCTACGCAATATACATTGAACATACGTGAGACCGCATACGGGCACTCCTACACCCATCCAATCATAACCACACCTCGTACGCAGCAGCGATGTAGATTCATCCACAATATATACATATAGATACACGGACAGTCAGATTCACATATATATCTACACATTTACACACATGCATAAATATTACCACGAGCGTATCCATATTTATAAATATTATCTGAAGCTTATACATTTATACAAATATTTAAAAAATTCACCTGATGTAAACAAAATTTAAAAATTAGATTTGAATTTAAAAAAAAAATATTATAAAAAATTAATTAAAATTTCATTTGATGAGTGCAATGAAAGAATAAATAAAAACAGATCTCATGTACACAAATTAATGAAATAGATAGAATACATTTTAGAAGATTATTGTGAGCATCTAATTTAATTCACATAGCCTTAATTATCGTATTTTTAATAAAATTACTATTTTTATATCAGTTCGGAATCTGCGTTGTTCAGTAAATAATTAAATGCTGTATGACTAATGATATTAGCTCCGCGGTTACGCGCATAGGAATCTGCAGAAACGCATAAGAGCAATCGAACTAATGAGATCATCGTCATTGTCACCATCTATGGCGCGACGGAGTTGCTGCAAGTCCTCATCGAGCTCGCGCTCCCTAAAGGCTTCATCGGAGGAGAGACGACATCGCAGCGTCGGATGCGATAACAGTTCAATTGTTTTCAACCGCAACACGCCTCTATTCTCCGAAAGGTCAAGACCTTCAACAATAACAACAACCTTCCTTCCACATGGTAACAACTTGGCTGCACTGCTTAGAGCTCAGGTTTCTAGGTACGTTCTTAAAGCTTTTCGTTATGTTAATTCGATCTGTTTACTGGGCAGTTATATATTCTTTACATCTATTACTTTTAATACATCGCAATAGCTATACTAATAAAAAACTCATTATTATTTATTTTATTCATATAACAAACACAAAATAATAAGTTAGTTCAAATAAAGTATTAATATATTATATATAATATATTATATAAATAGTATATAATATATAATAATAATTAAAATATAATTATTAATGTAATAAAAATAAAATGGTACGAAAAATCATTTTCAGAGAAAAACTAGAGCGTGATATCAAAAAACAACTTGAGGAGAATCGTCAAGATCAAATGTTAAGATTACGCAAAGCTTTAATTAGCAAAAAACCAGCATGGAGAGCTCTCCGCTCTGCGGCAAGGTTTGCACCTAATTTATATTTTCATTGTTATATTATTTTATTTATACACAATGTAAAACTAATATTTATAATGGCATTAAGAATAGAAAATATATAATTAAAACAACATCAAAATGTATATCTTAGTTTTCTTAATATTGTCTCCTGGTATAGGTACAAAAATAAGGCATAAATTTTTTCTTTTCTAAATAATTTTGCATAAAATATATATAGATTATATAAAAATATACAAAATATTTGAATAAACATATTTATCTGTATCTTATAATAAATAAGAAATGAACACGAGAGGGATTTAGATTTTCGTACATCATTACGACGAGATGAAGCTCGAGAACAAGCGGATCGTCATCGTATCCAAATGGAAATGATGCTCGATCGTGTTACGCAAATCCCTACACTTTTCGAACGCCACTCTCAGGTAAAATATTTATCTTCAAAATTAATAATTCTCGTAATTAATAAATTATACTTAAAAATAATTAATGTTTGAACTCAACATTAAGTAATGTCCTATACAAATAATTTTTTGTGAAAACTGATTTCTCTATTAATTTAAAAGTCAAATTAGAATACTTTTGGCGCTAATTTTTGTATAGCTCATTGAAAACAATGTTTACATTATATACAAAATAGTTTTGTTTATATTCCTATAATATTTACACTAACCAAAAATAGTTAAAAATAATACTTCGCATGTATTAATTATGTCTTAATTATTATAAAAATATAATGAGTGAAAAATAATGAAAAATAGCACGAGTGGTATAATATTATTGGAGAATTATTATAATAATTATTATAATAATTATATTATATTATTATATAAATGATCACTGAAAATTAAAAAAAATGCTTATACAATGCAAATATCCAAAAAAGCTTATCATTTTCATGCTATCGCACAATATTTTTTTCAAACTATTTCACATAATAACACTTAGACGAACGAGGATGAGACGATGTTACAGAACTTCCAGTCATCTCTTCGCCTGTGTCCAAAGCTTTATGACTATCCAAAACTCGATCTCTGTATGAGGAAGAAGTCAACGCCAAAGCGCCAAAGCTCGAGCAGCGCATACTCCTACGCAAGTCTTGCAAGCAGCTGGTGTACAAACTCTGGATCGCTCACGAGCTCTTCAGGAACACCAGTTTCCGTTGCCCAATCCACCAGCTTAAGATGCACAAGTGACAATCTCGAGAAGAAGAAACAAAAAAACAAAGAGAAGAAAAAACAGGAGAAGGGCCTTCTCAAAGTCTCTATCAATGAGACAGCCGAACTTATCCAAGACATAAACTATAAAGAAAATCCGAGCCATTTAGAAGAACCATGTGACAAGACCATGATCCATAGCGAGACTAAAACCCACCAGAAACAATGATCATTCAATCTTCAATTCGTTATGAAACTCTAACATAATCAATCGAATTCTGTATCTGTTAGTGCTCATTATTTAATTCACTTGACTATCTTGTTCGAATCATTATATAGAAGACAGAACAAAAACAAAAAAAGAGATCGACAAATACGATTTACTTAATTTCATTTAATGCACATACCGATACTACTTCTCTATATAATTTAGATCAATCATTATTAATTAAAATAAAATACTATAAGATTCTCATTTCAATGTTCCAAATACATATTGAATTAAAATCTATTTATAAGTGAATTTATCTGTATTATTCCACAGTTACAATTTAGAAGATTATTGTGAGCATCTAATTTAATTTAATACCACAATTTCTTTCAAAATGCTAAATATAAAAGGAAAAAAGTTTTTACACCAAATTAATGTACCCAATTTAATAATACTTGACTAATGTATCCAAATGAATAACCACCAGTTACTAGATAAAAATTTTTTATTAAAAAGGTATTCAAAATTTTATATTAAATATTTATAGTATATTAAATTTATAATAAATATTTACAAAATACAAAATTTACAAAATTTTTAAGTATTTTTAATTAAAAATACTAAACCTAAAAAATATTTATATTTTATATATTATAATTAATTATATACAAATCACTTCTTTAAATTTATTAAATTATTTTTTAGATTGTACAATAAATTTCAAATATAATATTCATTTTGAAGTTCAATGTTATACTATTCTATATGTTAACTTATTTAATTTATTCCACAAAAATATCTATACATTTTATTATACCTCTATATATTTTTAAATGAAATATAATTAAATATTTTATTATATTTAATTTAAATTAACTAATTATTAAATACTGAAATACAAAATTAAAAAACTGTATTTAACAGTTATACCATCATATTTTCAATCTATTGATTTATATCTCGATGAAAATTATAATATTTAAAATTATATATTCGTTTGTTTTAAATTACTTAATTTTATAGATTATCATATTTTTGTAACTATCCATCAAACACAAATAAAAATAATTAGAACATCAACATAAATAAAATGATTTTTATCTATGTTCATAAAAGATAATCTATGATACTGTAATTAAATCCTTTGTATTAAATCATATTTTATTCTATTATATATAAATCTATTCCTATAAAATATATATAATAAACATTAGAAATCAATCAAAATAATTCCTAATTAGTTAAAATTTTATTCAATCAATATAAATATATTTTTGTAAAGTACTATGTATTATTATAAATTTTAATTAATAATTATTTTAAATTAATGTAATCTTAATTTCATTGAATAGTAATTTTTTAAAAATGAAAATTGTATTAATTTTATAAATAAATATGGTAAAGTACATATTAAATAAGATGAATACATATTATATCTAATATTTAAAAAAGTGCATCAAAATGTAAACACTAATTGATCTTTTTAAATACAAATGAAAATTTTTATAATAAGAATTTAAATTACAAAAAAATATATTATATAAATACGATTCATAAACTTAATCATCACTGAATTCTACTAGTATTAAGTTTAGTCATAAAATACTCCTTAATGTAATTGTTCGGAATTGAAGCAAGTTCTAAGATCGCCGATTGTCGGCATCGCCGGCCTTTTAGATCTCAGATTTCTGTAAAGACGAAAATTTTCGTATACTTATTATGTTTTGGTTTCAAATGGTTCGCAATGTTTATATGGTCTTCGGGTAATAACATCGCCCGGAATTCTCTAATGTTATTACGCCTTATTTTTTCTTTCGTCGAATTCTCGAAAGTTCTAGATTTTTCTTTCTGCGCCTCATATAATATTCCAGTGCAGCAACAATGATGCCTTATTGCCAGCTAAGTGAGCCGCCGCGTCGATATATAAGGCAAGCACCATGGCGTGCCTCGCTCTCTTGCTGAAGTTCCATCTTACTGAACTGCGCTTGCTACAAACCTCTTGCCGTGATCCGACCGCAGTGAACCGTTCTAACCCTCTACCAGTAGAAGCCATGGCACGGGTCTCGGTCTGCCCTCAGTAGGACCGCCATGTAACGGTCGTTATTTTCAGCAGCGCCACCATGGAACGATCAAGCCTTCGGTTTTCGTGCGCGTATTCAAAAGGCTTATAGGCGCGCAGCAAATCAAATTTTATAAAACTTCTCTTCAAACAGTCGATAGATAGAGTACGCTTTCTCGAACTAACAATTCGAAGAACGTGCATTCCCTCAAACAGTCTACACAAGTGACGCAATACGTCAATTACATTGTCACGGCTAGACAACAGTTTATTGAATAATCGATTATAAATACATTTTCATCAAGTCCTTCAGAGCTCGAAGGCTTGTAATTTATTATCTTGCGTGTGACTAGTTTTCTACTGCTCCCATTATAATTAAAGACATAACTGATTACGTACCAATTTTCATCGAGACTTTTTTACACTCTACTAAATACGATCGTTCTTTCTACCAAGCATACTTGATTCCAACCACCATCTTCTCATGCTCATGAATGAGCATGATTGACTACACATGCTGATCCTTACAACATCAGCATAAAATCGACATTCAATATCGTAATCTCCATAGCATTAACGACATCACCATCATCCTGAAGAAATAACCTCATCACAAGAATAGAATATTTTTCCTTCTCTCACCAGAAGCAATAAAAATTGCAATATTATAATAATTGACAACAAGAATAAACGATATATTAATACAATAATAATATACTGTACATAATTTCAACCCTTCCACCTGTTATTTCCTCATCAGTCATCATGACGTGACACTAATCCACTGAACTATTGAATTGGCAGTTCGAGCCATAAAACAAACCCTTAATAATCGCACAGTAATTTAATTAATTTAAACTTCTAATCTAAAGCATATCAATTTTTATTCTTTTTTTTTGGACAGAAATTTCAATTATGAGAACATTATTGATAAATTTAATTCAAAGTGTTCATGACAACTTTTATACTACGTATTAATAATTTTTAAAAATGTTAATAGACAACTATACTATTTGAGATGATACTATTTCACTTTATTGAAATAAATTATTGTTAATTATTAATAAAACTCATGAATTATTTAAATCTACCTTTTGAAATCGATAGAATACATACAATTTTTTAATATATTAACTAATTCGAAGCTTGAAATGAATATAAATTATATTATTAAGTAAAAAATATATTTGTAAATACTATTCATTTATTTTTTATAATAATCTAGATAGGTATAGTCGTAAACTAAATAGGAATCATTTTACAATAAACGTTTATATTAGAATTATATATTTTTATTTAATTTTTTTAAATTATATAAATTTATAAATAAGCTGTTTATCAATAAGATTTTTAGCTACTCATAATAAATATTTATTATAATTGTTTTTTAATTTAACACACTTAATCAGTAAATACTAATCAGATTTCGTAACTATTTAGACAACAAAGTGATTTCCTTCGATTAATGTGTGTATATTATAATAAAATACCTTCTTACATGCATATTGTTTCTTTATTTACCTATTTATATTTATAGTATTTCATTAATTTATGCAGAAACATTGATATTCAACAAAGAAAACTAAATACCACTGAGCAAAGAAAGATTACCACGCTTTTTACATCCAATTCATTAAAATATATATTTATAGAATAAACAAATATACGATATTTATCTAAATGTTCATTTTGTTGAATAATCATTACACTTACATTAAGCACTCATGCTGTTAAGAATCCAATCGAGGTAATAGTCCAGACGTGTGAAAACACCGGGGAAGCCACCACTTTTGCAATTCTTCATACCGAAGCTCAGGAGACCATATTGCACGTATCGCGGGTTGCCATAATAGATGGTTGGTGCTTGGAGGGAACCGCCCGAATCTCCACTAAATGAATTTATACTATGCGCCCCACCTACGCAAATCTGCTTTTGCCAGATCTCTATCTGGCTTTTGAATGTGATCACACATTCATCTTTGGAATAAGGAGACAAGCTCAGTTTTTGCATCATAGAATTGGGAATGTGATGGTCGGTGATTCCCCAACCGCTTGCCACCAACTATCCAACATACAGCAGTCGATTATAAACATTTAAAAGCTCAAAATCAAATACATTTTTAGAAAGAGTATCTATTATGTGCATGCTTTGCGTTCATCAAGAGATCTTTAGAAGTTGGCACCATTAAGATGTTAAAAGTTTACAAAGTTTTTACTGTCATAAAAGTAACTATGGCAACTATATTTTTTTAATTTTTCAATTCAATTATTATATTCTACTTTATCAACCTCTAATGACTCATATTAATGCCATTTATTTTCATTATATTTAACAGTCCAAGAATAAACAATTTGAAAAAATAAAAATGTTAAATATTTATATATTGTTGTCTTTTCGACCTCTTTTATTTTATCTAATTACAATTAATGTTTATATCAAAATACTTTTAAAAACAAAAAGTTACTTTTTATATTACAAGTTAGAATAAGAATCTTTGTTATTGGAAACAATATATTTAATTGATTACAATTATCTTGGATTTTCTTATCACTGTAAACTATTATATTGAAAATATTGTATTCATTCAAAAGTATATCATTATTGAAACTTTTGTTCGAATATTGTAAAATTTGTGTACATATAAATTTTTTCATCTTAAAATCCATTTGTTTGTAAAAACAAGTATCTCATAATTATCAAAAACACAATTTTTTAATACAATAAAATATGTTAAAAAAAATATATTCTATAAACTATTATTACAATACGTATCATTCATTACAAGTAAAACATATTACTTTTTTTGCTGTAATTCTTGCTGCTGTACCGATTGGCAAACAAATAGGTTTGGCATTTTCAGGACTGAAATCGATATTGTTTTTCTATCTTATCAAAGCAATATCATTTTTTAACTTAGCTACAGAGTAATGTCTTGATATTTCTCAGCACAAATTTTCTCGAAAGTCTCTGACATCTCACAATCTCTTTCTGTTATAATCTCATGCTCACCTATTCTCACACCGAATAATTTTAATTCTAAAAATAAAGAATTTAAATTATTCAAGTTTATCATTCTACATATCAATTATTTATTATACATTAATTTTATCGATTAAAAATCTATATACTTTTGATTTAATCATTTTATAATTAAATATAAATTTAAATAAAAAATCGTTGAAATGTGTATATACATATGCATATATAATAATTTAATTCGAAAGAAGAATTCAAGTGAACTATAAATTAAGAGTACTAGAAATATATGTAATATTATAAAGATTAATAATAACAAATATTCAATAAATAAAATAATTTTATTAACAAAAAGGTTAAATGAAATACTCTTATGTATTTCTGTATTACTAATTTTATGTAAATTCTTACTGTAAAAATTTACAAAATACTAATATTCACTACATCACTTAATGTTTGTACAAAAGTATTTTTTCAAATAAAGCAAAAAACAAAAGTAAAAGAAATAGTTCAAATGAATTTTGAATATTCACTTGGAGGTAAATCACTGACGCAGTGAGCGGCGCTAAGAACATAACGTTTGCTGATAACTGAACCACCGCAACGAAATTCTAGATTAGAAGCGCCAGTGTCATATACTAATAGTGCCATCCATGGAAATTCAAAGAGGCCCGTCCTATTGCCATCCATCAACGTGTTATTATTTATCGGCCCGCAAATATTGTATTCTAAAAGCCGCAAATTTGGATGTTTTGTCACATCTGGTGGTTCTAAATTAGATGAAATTAACTGTTTCATGCTTATATTTGAGGTCTTCAAGGACAGTAGCTCACTTTTCTACAGAATAGTATAAAAGCATTAAATTTATTATTATCATCTCCTGTACTTAATTTATACGATTGATAATTAAATATAGCCTTTATTATTATAAATACAAAATACAATTGTCTGCATTCATTCATAAATTTAAGTAAGGATATTTAAGTAAGGATTTTTACATAAAATGCATATTCCTTTAAAGACACTATTTATCATATAAAAAATAAAATATCTTTGTTGCGTAATTAGATAAAATGCTAAGATTTTATTTAAGAACATTTAATCAAGATATTAACAAACATATTAACAATAATAATACATGTTAACTGTGTTATATAATCAAAATTTTAATATTTAAATTATAAGTAATTAAAATATTTTATTTCTATATGGAACATAGATTTGAAAAAAACATGATACCATGTATCACCAACATATTAAAATTGTTCACATATCAAAATAGAATATTCTACATAATTACCAAATTATTCTCTCATTATTTACTTTAGTCCGTTTATAATTTATACAATTAATAAGAATTTGATTTACAAATATTGATACTATATATAATTTTATATACATTATAAAAATATTTTAAATAAAACTTATATTTGCTTTATTATGAGTATAAATACGTGAATTAAGTTCTAAATAAATAATACAAGTTCTTTCATATTAAATTACGTCAGTTTTTGTCATTGTACAAAATTCATTATATTATATTGGTAATGTACGTATAGTACAATCGAGATAATTAGCAATATTGTTATATATAAAGATTATAAGTATTTATTTGATAAACTTCTAATGTAATTTCGTTATATTTTTAATTCATCAATATATTAGAAAACAAGATATAATTTAACTCCAATATTTATTTTTCAAATATTCAATTTATAATTTTAAATAGAAAAGCTATTTATTTTTAATTTTAGATACATCTACAACTTTTAAATATATGTTAAATATGTTTGTTAATTTATATTTATTGGAAAATACTATTAGAAATAATAAAAACACGTATTATCGTTTAAAATACTATTAAAAATTATTTTTAAGTTGTATTATAATTTAATCAATGTAGTTATTCAATTATGTACAACTGTGCTATAATAAAAATAATTTGGTACCAAGAAATAGTGATTTATAGTTGCTATACAGCAAACCTTTGGATTAGATCCTTCAAAGCCACATTGAGACTTTTGTAAATATAGGACAATCGATTCTGATAATGGCTTTTGTTGTAATAAATGCATTATTTGATCACACTTCCATACAGATAAGCATATACCCAACTGGCCATTTGGCGTTTCAAACTTATCTTTAGTAGACGAGATAAACACTGAAATAAAAAGTTGATTAAATAAATCAAAATTTAAATAAACAAAAATAAATACAAATATTTACTGTGGTTTTAATATGTTATGTAATATGTTATATACTATGTTTACGGAAATTGAAGTATATTTATCAAAGTTTTATATTTTTTTAACTCTATGCATTAATGGCCATCCAAAGAATCATTCTAAATTTACTAATATATATTCTATAAATATTACAATAGTTATTATCAGATTAATAAATACACTTGACAGAAATTAACTTAAACAATAAAACAGAAATAAGAACATAAAGGAAATGAATACGAAATTGGGTTTAGACATATTAACAATAATCATATCAATAACAAAACTCTTTTGTAATAAAGCATTTGTAATTCAAAAACTCTGACCGATCTCTTTAAGTTTAAATCCTCTAATCTTTTAACTAGAAATCATGATAATATTTATAAGATTCAAGCTTTTTTATCGTTTTTATTTGTTATCAAACATTCAAAACTAATACGATACAAAAATAACCATTTAATTTAATACTAACATATTAGTGTAACTTCACCGTCATATTTTTTTTATTATTTTTAAAAGATTTGAAAATATGAATAATTTGAATACAATAATCTCAAATCATTTTAAGAGAATGTAAATAAACAATTACTTACACAAAATGATCACTTGCATACTTACATGCAGATATATCCCTTGCAATTATAATGAGCACCAAATCAAAAACTTGAAAGTTTCGTTGCATTGTATACACAACCTTTAGAAAAATGTTTGCGCTTCTTACAACTTGAATGATAACTTAAGAATCACTTAAGCCTACGATTTGAATATAGTACGTCGCAATTGTGAAAAAAATTAAAAATAACTAATTTATGTACCAATAGCTTAAAATTGGAACAATTTCTAATCTTTCTTTACTTAGCACGAGCTTCGGATAATCTTAAATGCGAATACTCGATTAATGTATTGTAGTGAACTCGTCTGCATGAATAAATATATTGTTAACAAATGCATCTTGATCAAACGCGAGAAACCAGTTTTATTGTAGGTTTTCCTACATGCCGTTCAATCGTATGTACTCAATCACGCTCTCTTTGAGTGTGTGTGTGTGTCTCTCTGTTGTGTGTCTATATCTCTCTTTCTCGTTCTTGTTTGCTTTTTCTCACTAATCATCTATTTTCTATTTGTTATAAACTCCAGACTATTAAGTATTACTCGAATCTTTATTAAACTTGACATCTCCTTTTCTTTATCTCAATCTTGATAGATGTACTAAACATCAAATTAAAAAAATAGTTATGAATTAGTTTAAACAATATCTATAAATATACAAGGAAAAAAGATCAATTGCAATTCTAACGAAATATTTCAATAATTGTATATTTAAGATTGTAATCTAAATTAATTTTGCTAATTTAAATTTAAGGTTTAGATATTAATTTTATTTTTAAAAGTTCAAATATTATCGCTTAGATTATTCATTCAAATATTATAATTATAAACATGTATGGCTTTTCAATTATAAAAATACTTTTGAAAGTATTAATAACCTATAAATAATTAATTTAATAAAATAAGAATAATTAATAACCTATAAATATTTATAGCTAATAGTGCCTGTCTAGAATTACTACTAGTCGATGAAATATTTAGAATCATACTATAGATTAATCTAAAAATTAGCTTACAAATTAAAACTATTCAGTATTAAAAATTAATAAACTTTTTCATTAATAATCTCAACAGTATTGTAATAAATATTCTTATCATAAACTTTAATCTTAAAATTTGCTTATGATTCTGCAAATGACACAATATGAAATATATTAATTATAATAATATTACGTATAAGTAGGAATATGATTTTAATTGTTCGAAGAAAAATTTAATTACAATTAAAATTTAATTTATATCTGTATTTTTCTATTAACAGAAGCAAACTTATCTTATTTTAAATCGAATTCATTGATAAAGTAACTCTTTAGATACATGATTCACCTAATATTTGCAGAAATATAAATACATAGAATTGCTAAAGAGCTTTTTCGTTATTTATAATAAAAAAAAAATAATGATCTTTTAGCTTTATATTGTTTTTATAAATAAATATTAGAACTCGAAAATATATTGATCATTGAATTTATTTCATTAAATTTATTTTACAACTTGTGCAATACTGCAAAATAAATGGGTATGACATCTTGCTTAAAGAGTACTTCTTACAATCAAGTTATAAATATATTGTACCTGTTTCGTTATTATCTCAGCCTCAATGGTGTTAACTTATTTAAGCTTAAGTGATTTCTGGATGACTTAGCGAAAATAGGATTAAAATTATTTAAGTATCAACTGTTCGTTTTTTCATTCCTAAACAAAAATAATGTATAACAGTGAAACAATTTATTGTAATTCATTAATATGAAAAGCCATATACTAGCATCATATATTTTCTATAAATTTTGTAACTATCTTGTAATTAAATAACGGACCATGATTTTAAAAATATCAATATAATTTATACTTCTAATTTTTTAACTGATGTATGAATTTTATTGCAGATTTTATTTATAACAAGATTGTTTAATTATTTTCCATAATTAATAAATTTTATTAAATTTTTAAATTTTGTTTCTATTATAAAACTATATCTACTATAAAACTTATATATAAATATATACATTTTCCCTGCACATCTTGGCTGTTCCTTACCTTACATTTATAATAATTTACAAAATATAACTCTGAACTTATGAATTTGTTGATTATATAAGCTAGTATTAATAACAGCCTTAATTAAACCTGCTTAATTTCACTTTTTTTCAATAATCATGCATTTATAATATATATATATATATATATATATATATATATATACATACATATATCACTTTCAAATTAATTGTATAGTTATCATTTACTCGCATAATACTCAGAAATAACATTCGTGTATTTCATAAATTTTTAATTGTCAGCAAATTAATGCAATATGATTCGTAGTTCAGCCAGTATTCGATATTTATAAATCGTACATTCCAATACAATAATCCTTCTCTCAAACTATTATAATATCGGTTACACGTACACTATGATTAAATGCATTGGTGCATACAATGAATATCTATCTATTAGAACCATAAAGAGTTCTTGTTGAATCAACCAATAGGAATCAGGGTCGAATCGTGTATAATATCCAAGACATATAATCGTAAAGTTTCGTGTAGACGCCAGGCCAACCAGGCATTCCACAAGGCGAAGGTCCGAAAGAGACGACTCCTACAGATTTCCACTTTAATGTTCCATCTGAAGTTCTATCCTGCTGCATGAGGGGGCCCCCAGAGTCGCCCCTGCAGGAGTCTTTGCCCTTCTCCCCTCCGGCACAAATTTGTCCGTCCCCGAGGATAATACCGTACCCGAGATATTTTTCTGCACAAGCTGCTTTGTTTGCCAGACCTAGCGTCACTTTTAACTTTACCTCGGACTCGGATTTACTTTCGGTTCTGCCCCAGCCGGCAACCTGAAATTTCTTGTTAAGCTCTGGTCCACTTGGCAGGCAAATCGGCTTCACAAAATTGGTGAAAGTAACCTCACGTGAGAGCCGCAACAACGCAATATCGTTCTTTTCTCCATTGGTTTCAGGTGCATAATCCGCATGGGCAATCTGTTCTTCCACTGGGACCGTCAACGGCTCTTCTGCGCATACTTGGCTATCGTTCCCATCCGGGATACAATCTCGTTCCGTTGCCGTGTTATATTCGCCCAGTCGAACTGCGACCAGATTCCAGGTCTTAGGTAAGGAACGACCCTTAATACAATGAGCCGCCGTTAAAACATAGCGCTTACTGATTAGAACACCTCCGCAAGCTGTTGTCTTACCGCTTGCTAGATTGAGAAAGATAATAGCATAAAAAATCTCCTTAATATCAATTCTAGGTCAAAATTTTATTGTTTTTTAAACGATCACCTTTTAGCTTTCTGACTTAAACCTCATAATTCTATTTAGGAATCAATATGAAATACTATAGTTACGTCATATACTTCATTTCTCATCGAAACAAATAGCAAACGTATTGTTTCAATAAAAAAAATTAAAACTAACAAATTCAATTTCCTTATATAGTAATCTATTCAATTATAAATATCAGATTAATCCAATGTTTCAATTTTCAGGGCAAATTTTCTATATGTAATACTTTCAAAGTTGTAGTTATTTTATCATATGAACCACACTATACATATAACTGTGTATTTATCAATTACTTATTTTATAAATTATTCCATTAAATAATCACGAAAACAGTAACATAATAAATAGTAAAACAATATTAATTTTTCATTTCCACTATTATAGAATTAGATTACAGTATATTATTAAATAAAAACAAAAAGTAAAGAAAAAATATGAAGCAAGATTAAATACAAGAGCAACGGCATATCTTTGAATTATATAGGCAGTTACTCTTGATAAAATAATTAATTTATCATTCTTCGCGCTCCAATTATTAACACATACTTTACTGTAGCAAAAATAGGTCTTCATAATATATGTTGAAATTAGATAGTCATGCTACTTGAGAGAAGTGTCGTTATCTACAAACTCGCATGAATCAGAAAGCAAAAAAACTTACGCTTGCGGTATTCTAGAAGTGCCATCCAGGGAAACTCGTCGAGCTCCGTAACGTTGCCACCAATGATACGATTCGAAAGATCACGACCGCAATCGATCGGTAAAAGACTACTAGCTTCCAATTTTGCAATGTCGTCTCTTTGATTCCAAAATCTTCCAGCGGTCGGGCCATTAATCGAACTATTTATTGGACCATTACTTGAGTCGCCGTTGCTTCGTCCATCTTTACCATTTGAATAGGGATTTTGAGATATGTTTCGTATCGGACAGCAAACGAAGGGATCACCGTTCTGAAAGCTGCATTGACTTGCCCTTAGAAAATTAACATTCATTGGATTGAGCGGCACCGACCTAAGAATCAATATCAGTTCCGGGCATCTCTTGATGCTCAAACACTTGCCAAGCTCATTATTCGGAGTCCGGCATTGACTGCTCTCTGTTATTTAAACAAAAAGAGATTATATAACGAGTATTATTCTCCTATTATTGTTGTTTCATCCAAAATTTCAAATACTAGCTATTTGCCATTCAAATTATTTTTACTAAGTCATACACAAAGTTGGAATAATATCAGTAATGAAATAATATAAGGCACATGTGAATATGAAAAGTTGAGAAAACCCTATTTTATAAATATTTCTTTAATGTATAATATCGACAAATCAATTAAGTAATCTATTATTTATTAATAATGTTTCCATTATTAGAAAAAAACCTTAAAACTAAAAAACCAAAAATCATTGTTATTTTATTGTCACTTTTTTTTAAAAAATACACACTATTTAAACTTATTAAAAATTCATATTATATAATACTCAATATTTTTTAAGCCATAAAGTAAAAAACTTAAATTATAATTAAGTATAATAAATATAAACAATGTATAATAAATTTCCGATAAAATATTTCAATAATACATGGTTTAAAACATAATTAACTGTATAGAATATAGATCATATGAATAATAACGACATCATTCTAATTCTATTAAAAATCTCAATTTTTACTCTTATATAAGTTAGAAGAAATATATTTATGTTAAAAATCTTTAAAAAGTACATGAAATTAAAACAATAACGTTAATCAATTAAATATAATTGACAATTAAGAACAAAGAATCTTTCCTCTTATATAAGTTTAAATAAATATAAAATTCGTTACTGATCATTTTAATCAAATAAAAATTTTTTAATTAAATTTATAAAATTGTAACTGTTATTAAATAACAATTAATATTTTTAACTTAAATAAAAAAATTTAATTTTTTTCATAATGAAAAATTAAAAAATGCTTTTAAAGTGTCCGTATTGTTACTTACATATATTGCATATTATTTCCATAGTATTATAAAAATGTTATTGCACTTAATAAAAGAAATACTTAAAATAAAAGTAGAAAGAAAATAATATTAATACCTTTTGTATATTTATATGTTTGAAATGAGACTAGTATATAAAAATAGTAATAATACCAATTAATATTTATGAAACATATTTATTGAATAATAATGATGAAATTATTATAAGGATAACTGTATATGTGTAAATGATAAGAACAACTGTAACAATGATGATAATACTAATATTAATAATAATAATGATAATTATATACTAATAGCAACAATAATGTACAGTTATTACCGAAAATTAAAAGTTAATTCTATTATAATTATTATTATATTCAATAATACTTTAATATAAAAGAATTGATTTAAAAGCATTCTATAATAGATTGTATAATAATAGATTCTGTACTATATGCCTATAACAGATTTTAAAAATGGATTAGTAAATACTTGTTATTTTTTAAATACTTAGAATATTTTATAAAATTTCTTTACCACACTTATTAATTTGATTCCATAAAAATGCCGTATTTGCATAACATTTTACTAATTTATATTGATAAGAAAAAGTAAATATATAAAATATATTATATAATAGTAATATGGTATTAAATATTATTAATCATCTTTCAAGTATTTGTATTATACTATAACATTATTCTACATGAGGTTAAAATTTCACTGTTATATAATACGAATTAATGAGATAACAAATCGTGGTCAACAAAAACATACATTGTTTTGCGTTCGACCTTTTCCAGAATTCACAGACAATAATAAAAATAATGAAAAACCTGCGTATACGTACGAGAACTTGTAATATGAAAAATAATAAAACCAAACAGTAAATATATCACTCCATCCTTGTAATTCATATTTAATTTCTGTTTGGAAGAATACAAGGAGTTGTTTAAGAGGTTTGGAATAGTTGGTATGCGCTACTGTATATCGACTTTATATCATCACTCCTAATTGACACGAGAAGTACTATGTGCAATGCGCAAGAGAATTATATCCAAATAGTTAAAGACACTAGTGGCAACTGCGTACATGTAGTGCAGCTAATCATCTACGGTAAACAAGTCCCCCACCACTTTCGTCCCGAAACGTCCAGCCTCTTAAAACAATTTGTTTGGTTCACTTTGTGTTTTCCCTATCAAAACAAGGGCTGCTTACTTTTTTACAATTCTCTCATAAATAATTATTAAAAGAAATTTTGTTGAAAATACATTAATTTTGTTGATAAGGTTTTCATTTTAAGCGATGTAAATTAAGTTATATAAATAAATATATATATATGTTATTTGTTTATTTTATTTTATACAAAAGACAAAGTTAACAAATAACTATAAACTGAATTATAAAAGTAATAGTTTGAATAATAATCTTATAAACATATGGGATTTATTCATTTTTCTCTTGATCTATTAAGCATTGGTTTTACATAAATGTAATAATTCCAATGGTAAAAATTTACAATCCACTATTGAATTAATCAATTTATAAATTCCTATAAATATTTTTAAATTATTTTCCTTTTACTATAATGCTTTTCACAATTAAGATTAATACTCATTTTCTTCTCTTTTTTTCAAATATTTAGATAAACTTACAAAATATCAGTTACAAATTATACAAAATAATTCAAATAAGTAATAATCAATAAATTAAAAGTAAGTAATAAACAATAAATTAAAAATAAGTAATATATAATAAATTAGAAATAAGTAATGAATAATTGATATAAGCAGATTATTAGTAAATAATATGAACAAATTTATTAATCAATAAAAGTTTAATGTTTTAAATTTTTTAAATATTATAAAATATATACATAAATATAAAATATTAAGCAATAATCTTCATCAACCACTTCTGTATAGAATATATTTCTGGTAATATCATTTTTATAACGTATATAAAAGTATAAATATAAATTTATAAATATGAAACTTATAATGATATACTTGTAAAAAATCATTTTTGTTATTGAATTTATTTTTTTTATGGTAAAAATTAATTTGTTAATGCTGAAATGTACAAGGTATGTTTGGGATCAGACACAAAAGGCCTCCTTATGATGGCGGGTGGAGGTGTTGCTGGCAAGTGGAAGGGCCAATACAAATATTCAATACTACTTGTAGTGTTTATTGTCTTTCCCTTTATTAAATATCAAAATATAACAATTAGTTAATGGTCATTGAAATATGAATAGATAGCGTGAGTGAATTGTGTGGTGAAGTTTCTTCAATTGTTTTACGTAATAGTGGGAGTATGTGTACTCTCGATAAGGTGGGGCGCGATCCCTTCTCCTTGCAGGACGACTCACTGTAGTAGTAGGCGCGCACTGGAGAGGCGATTGAGACGATACTGCCTTCGCCGCCGGTATAGCGTGAGCGCCGCTGTGCCTGTGTGGTGGGGAGGATTTCGTGTTGCGTCACTGTCTATGTGAGCGGGAGATTCGCTAGTAGTGGGCGTATGAGCGTGGGCTTGAAGCCGGTATAGTTGCGGTAGTAAGAAACGTCCGTGGTGCGTTGCTGCTTACGCAGGCGTGAGAGCCGGTATAGTTGTGAGACTGCGTAATTAGTACTAGTAAGGGAGATGCACGTCAAGCGCTGCTCTTAAATATTCTCGTACGAGCTTGCGACGCCGGTAGCGCATCGGCGTCTGTTACTATACCGAGTATTACCGCGACGTTACTAGGATATAGCCTTGGATAGTTCATCGGCATTGTTAATCGGAATTATAATCTAATATTCGAGTATCCTGCGTAGTGAAATTTCCCGAATTCGCAGACTTGTGTTTATAACGGAACGTGCAGGTGTTTATACCTCTCCCACTTTTGTATTCCCCCTTTAACTGCTTCAATCCGTAACATTCCGCCCGCCATCATCAATTTATTGATGATTAGATTTCGAGTTTTCGGTGGGAACTGGCAGTACTGGTAGAATGTGGATTGGTCTTGTGATTGTGGTTGAGTCAACTTTAGCAAGAAGCGTGGAGATTTCTTCAAATGTCAATTATCCACTGGTATTCCTTATGTAAGTTGGCGGAGCTTACCACTTCTGTGATGCGAAATGAATTCATATTCGTTTTAGGCTTGGATAATTCCTTGATAGAGGGTTCTCGGGTGATTGCGAGCGAGTTCCGATGAAGTGACAAATACCATGCTATCCGTGCCTGGTACGTTTTGTTTCTGTCCCTTGTAGCCTTTTGAGTTATTCTTCCAATGCCCTTATCTGCTGTGCTCTTCCACGGGGGTGACTTCATGTTGTTTTTTTTGTAGGATTTGCTGAGAATGCCTGAGTTTCAGTCATTGGTAATGTGGTAAGAATTCATTCGAGATGTGGTTGGAAGGGGTGGGAGCGTCTTCTTGTAGACTCCATCGTAATCAATTTTATATACACTTATAGTTTTCCAACGGTTTGATGGCTATGAGGACAGTGCGATGAATTAATTGCGGTTTTTTCTCACTCGGAACCGCTCGCCATGCCGCCATTCTGCAGTTGAATCGGGTTCCAGTTGTAGTGCACCGTGTTCTCATCTCCAAGATTCATGACATGTCTGCCATGCGTGATGAGTTGCACAGCCAGGAGAATCTTTCTCCCTAGTCTTCCACCAGTTGCTTTAGTGTCCTGATTGCAGTTAATGGAGCATATCTTGTGCCTTGGCTACAGTATTCAAATGCTTGGTACTCTTTCGTGGTTGTCGATCCAATGGATTCCTTGTAGGTCCTAGTTGTCCTCATGATCTTGTATCTGCTCATGGTGATGTCAGTGGATTCCGATCATTACGTCTGACATATCTTTTTTTACTATTAATTTACTATTAGAACTCCCTGAACTTGTATTTAAATTCACTATTAAATTTGATTCGTATTTCCTTGTGAAGAGAAAGGTTTCTATGTATTAATACATTTTGTTAATTCTTGTTCTTCAGTGGGCCTAATAAACTGAATTAAATTCAACAATGTGTTTATTATCCGCACCATTGACTATCTCAATTCAATGTCTGTTTTGCTGGATTAATATTTATTTATTCAATATATCATTAGACATGCTGTGTTCTAGGCTTAGATTGTGAATTTAACTTGACTGTTTTTCATTGTAATTAATTGATCTCTTTCTTTATTAAGATCTTGACAATGGAATTTTCTTTGTGCAAGTAAGTTTTTATCCTCATCTGGGCAAACGTTTCTGACTGCCAGGTTTCTAGTTTCAGTATCAATATTGTCATTTATTATTTCTGTTTGATTGTCTATAGGACTCGTTGTTATAGATGGTTTCTGTGTTCAATATTCCTTTGAGGTCATGATGCTGGATTGTCAGTTCTCTGAATCTATATTAAGTGTCTTCAACATTTTCTTTATGAAACTTGTTAATAAATGAACTTAAATTGCTCTTAAGCTTATGTATTTTTGTTTTGTCTGTAGTTGTAATTGCAGTTAAAGAAGTTAATGAAGTAGTTATAAGACTGTTAATTTTGTTCTTACTTCATTTACGATATCATCCGGTGGAATGCCTGTGTAATTGATTTTTTCGGTCTAGTATAGTCATTTACTTCTGATGATATATTGCTCTGGGGTTATAGCTTCAGTTAGTTTATCAATTTCAGATTTATCCATTACTGAAATAATGTATGTGTTTATCCGATAATCTTCATTCTGAAGATGACGTGATTCGTCTATTACATTCATCTTTCGCAAATAACTTAAAATGTTATTTATAAATTCAGGTTATTCGGGATTGAAGCAGTCCCATGAATTTCAAACAAAAGAAAGGTCATTTACGCAGCCCGGCGTACCGCATGTGCGCCTAGACTGACCGCGCGTGCAGCAAGGCTGGCCACCACGTGCGCCTAGGCTGATCCGCACGTGCGGACCGAGGCGGGCACTCGAGAAAATGTTTACAAACAAAACTCGGCAAGTCCGAGCAAGTTTACGATTTGAAATATTATTTACTGCCAGCACTCACAAAAAAGGGACGCCTTCGAAACTTCTAGAAGCTTCGTTTTCTCACGCCAAAGGAAAATTTCTGGAAGGGACGCGCATCGACACTGTTGCCGGCGCTGAAGACGCCGCATGCACATTTAAGCGCAACGCGCCATGAGGCGATGCTCATTCGTAAAGTCACTTCGCTCTCCATCAAGCGTAACTGCCGGTCAGTGCAAGTATACTGTAAAGACGCCGCGTAGCCACATTTTCGGCAACATAAGCTCATTCGTAAA